GGAGGGGGTCAGTGGGGCAACGGGGCGGGGGGGAGAGCCCTGCCCCCACCACATCCGAGCCTCACTTCAGCCTCATAGATGAAGAGGACGACGTGCGTGATGGTGTAGAGCGTCATGTAGACCGACAGCTTCACTGAGCCCGCGTGGCTGATGCGGCCCCTGGTGGGGGGCAAGGGGGTGAGAACCCAGGCATCTGGGCCACCCCCACCCCGTGCCCAGAGAACCCAGGTGCCTGGGTACCTGGTGACAGTAAAGCCCTTGCCCAGAAGGATCAGCATCAGGAGGAAGACGAGGAAGCTGATGGAGAACAGCAGCTTGGCTGGGGAAGGGGAAAGGGGGTGAGTCAGGGCCCATGTACACTGCACAGGGATGCTCGCACGAGGGCCTGGGGCATGTCGCACGGGGCCATGGGATGAAGCAGGGGTGGGGGGTCACGTGCTGGGGGTCTCCCATGTCGCACAGAGCTGCTGCCCCTCTCACCTGCCGGCTGCTCGCACGTGTGGTCCCCTGAGCTCACGCTTGCCCCTCACACAACCCCAGCACCTACCCAAAATCTTGAGGCTGCCATTGCCGACCCCATCACAGGCGTATTGGCCCCAGTAGATGCAGAAGAAAAGCAGGCTCAAGACTGGGGGGGCGGGAAACACAGTGAGACCACCGCCACGGTGCCCCTCACTCCCAATCCGTGGCCCCTGCCCACCCAGCTCTGCCGGTGCCCCTCACTCCCAACCCACGGCCCCTGCCCACCCAGCCCTGCCGCTGCCCCTCACTCCCAACCCGCAGCCCCGGCCCCACCAGCCTCACCCTCCACACCAGCAGCCGTCATGAACATCTTGTAGGTCGTGTGCAGCAGCTGCCGCCCCTTGAGCAGATCTGAGGCAGGACAGATGAGCAGGGACAAGGACAAGGGCAGAGGAAGGGACAGACGGATGGGCTGGGGGCGGGGCCAGAAAAGCCCCCTTGAACTCCACCAGAGCTGTGCAGAGTGCAGGGACCGCCCCGCCACCAGGGCCCTGGGGTCATGACCTTCCAGCCAGGGTCCCCCATTCACCCCAGCACCCCTCTTTCCTGCCCACCCTTGATTCCCTTGACCCCCCACAGGGTACGTGCCCCCCCACTCACAGCCAAAGTAGCAGGAAACGAAGAAGATGAGAATGAAGATGAGGAGGAAGGTGATGTCAGTCTCCAGGATGCCTGGGTGGTGGTGGGGGGCAGTGAATGCTGGGGGGGCCATGATGCCTCCTCCACTCGCTTCCCCCCCCACCAGGGAACACAGGGGGACCCCCAGCCCTGCTGGTGCCCCTCACTCCCCACCTGCACTCCCAAGCAAAGAACGCACCAAACTCGTCGGCAGAGAAGTGCCGTGTCCAAAACGACTTCCCGTTGGTGAGCACCATCTCGTACTCCAGCTCCAGCCCATCGCCCTGTGTGGAGGGGGGCAGAGGTGAATGA